TCAATCATCAATCATCACCATGAATCACCAATCACCATTCATCAATTATCAATCATCAGTCATCATTCACCAATCACCAATCATCATTCATCAATCACCAATCATCATTCATCAATCACCAATCATAATTCATCAATCACCAATCATCAATCATCGATCATCGATCATCAATCATCAATCGTCAATCACCAATCATCAATCACCAATCATCAGTTATCAATTATCAATCATCTTCGAAAGGCACTTTTTTATTCATGCAAGAAAACATTTCCATTTTTGATCATATCTGGCTTAAAAACTGTTTTTTTATAATACCGTAGTAGTACTTGAAAATACTTAACGAAGAAAAAAATGAATGATATGATGAATCGATGCTTTGTCATCGATGCCTTACAAAGGGGTTGAGAAATGTTGCAGAGTCAGATGAACTTATTTTGACAATGTGCTTCTTCTGTTAGCATAATAATCCGTTCATCTCGAGGAATCGACAATAAACTTTAGAACCACTCATTTTTCCATACTGTTATCATCCTCAGAATTGACACGGAGATCTCGACCTCAAATTCTGTTTCTACCACTTCCATCCATTGATCACATGATTTCACAAATCTCAGGATGAAATTTCAGCACAGGATAGATTTTATTTTTCAGCATTCTAATGTTTATTAACGAAAACCGTAAGGCAATATGAAATACCACACTTTGCCCTCATGTTTATTAAGGAAAAAGCTTTACTGATTAAGGGAGCATGTGCATTGGTTAAGAATAGTATCTGCTAATAAAAATCGTTGTAGCTTGGCTTCCATTCTGCTTCCAGGTTGGTCTGGGCTATTTACCGTAGAACCACGAGTATGTTATACACAGTTTTCAAGCAAGTCCCAATAAACTCATTCACGGTTGCATGTGAAAAAATCAACATTTATTTCTATGGATGATGGGAGTTACTTGAAATGAAACTACAATCATATAGTTTTAATCGTAAAACATGATTATTTCACGTTGCTTATGGCCTGTAAATTGTTTGTTCGAACTTATTTCTCAACAGACATTGGTCTGCAGGATTCCAACCCAAGCAAATTAAATTAAGTTCATCAAATCAACTACAGTCAAACCTTGCACAGATCCAAGTGTACATTTCCCATTCGATTAAGCATACAATTTTAAAGTTCTATTACAAGATGCAATCACCTTTGATGTAATCAGTATCAGTTCACTGTGACACAGTTGAAGGCAGCACCAACTAAGTTGTAGCGATAAGAAGCCGATTCTGTATTTCCTACACAAAAATTTGGTTTCATTCACGTTTTTTTGCAAACTTTCAGGATTTTTTTAGTTTGACGTATAAAACATGCAAGCTATATAACACCTGCCTAAACAGCAACTTAGATTATGTCACGTCTATGTTTTTTGTTTGTAGAAAGTTAGAAACACTCTCGAACAGAACACTGGACTTTCCGGCTTTATTATGCTGCAAATTGAATTTTAAAAAAGAGTGATTTTTCAACAGCCACTACTATCGTATAGGTTTATAATACAACATGAGATCACCACCCTGTTTCCAGATAAAATGCTTGACAGTTCGGAGGTCCATTTCTGGATCCAGTTTCTAAAAAAAATAGTTACAACGTTTAATATAATCAATAAAACGTTCAAAACACTTGAAGTAAAATAACAGAATTTCAGAAATAATTATTTTAGGCGGAAATATGGCTAAAATAAAATAATGTATTGACAAAATAAGATTTTCTTAGAACTTTTGGAATGTAAAAAAGTTATCACAGATTTGTTACAACAATCAGTTACAGACATAAACAACAGAAAGGATGGAAAAGAAATATTCAAAAATCACCTCTGGATTTAGGATAAGGAACTAGAGCGGCTAAATAACAAGTTTTTGAATCTAAACATGAATACTGCATTATGCATATAAGAGTTTAGCAAGCAGCAAGCATACCTGATCTTGGCAATAAAGTTCAATCCTTTCTTCAATGTTTGCTTGTAAAGAGGGCGGTAACATTTGAGCAGCAGATGGAATACCATTCTCAGAGTAATTTGCATCGTTAACATTTAGTATTTTCTCATAAACATGTTCCATCACTTTTCTCACTTGAAGCATTTCTGTTGCACTTAATCGATCCCTTGAAAAGGTCATTTTCGTATAGATTTGAATTTCGTCATATGTTTTAGACTGTTAAGACTGTATTGTCAGTCTTCCGAAATTGTAAGAATTGTTCTCGCGGTAGTAAAAAAAAAAAAGACTTCTTTGGCGCCTTGATTCCAAGCGATGGATGTGGAAGCAAGAAAAATGGCATTTTGTTAAATTTTGGAAGCTGATTTCGTTCAACAACATCCAACACCCAAGCTGGAACAAAGTCCGAAAGCATTTGCGATTCAGTTTCATGTGCCGCATCCCGTATCATCAGCCGAAATATTGGCCGACCAGATAATTCACTGAAATTAATTGGCTTTCTAGAATAATTATCAATCTAGTTTTTCAGATCAAGAGATACTTTCCCAAACATTATAGCATTCAAAATGATATAATAGAATTTTTATAGACATAATAAAACTGAAGTTATGCAATTTGGGTTATGGTTATTATTTTGGGTTACGAAAAGGTTATGCAATTCCAAAAATAATCTTATAGCTCCAAAGTATTGACAGAACACAAATGATTTGAGTCCAATTATTCACAAGCGGGAGAGAAATTAATGTTGTAAATGATAAGCTTAAATTTTCGACTAAGTAACTTCGGTTTCAGATGCCAAAATTTTGCGATTGTGTATAAACTTAGTTTTTTTATTCCTCTAGTTATTGATCTGCTTACTATTAATAAAAACAATTTAATTGCATACCACAAAATAAGTGGCGTATGACTAGGTACGGAATTAAATCGATGAGTTGGAGATTCCTCATCAACATCAGAAAAAGACCGTGACCAGTGTTCAAATAGTGCTCGAAGCAACATACCACCATAGTTGACTATAATATAAATTAAAGCAACATACCACCACAGTTAACTACAATATAAGTAAAGCAAAATCCTATTTCGATCCCTACTAAATCTAGAATTAGATTTATCATTTTAATAAATTGTAATTTAATACAAAAAAAGCCTACTTTTAGTATCATTCTGACTGTTTGGAAACCCAGCGTCTTTTGCCGACACCCAGGCAGAAAAGAAGTCCGATTCATCCAGTGTAATTTGTAGCATCTAAGGAGAAAAAAAAAATCTCTGTCCACTAAATTAAAGGAAAATATTCCATTAGAAAAATGTCGGAAATTTTCGCACCCAACTGTAAATTGTAAATTCTGACTAAACTAAATATCCGTGTCTCGCACAACAGAACGCAAGTTCTTTTCATGCTTGCAAATGGCACTTGTCGTGGTTAAGAATGGAGTCAATCGAGTGACAATAATGTAGTAATAAAACTGTAGGAATGATTAAGCGCTTTGATGTTTTTAAAAATCTCACTTCACTAAGAACTTACACCGCTTTTCAGATCAACTGTGAACCATGAAGGTACAAATACTTTCTTAAAATGATCCTTGATCACTTCTTCCATCGGTCTCTTTCCATGATCACATACCTCAACAAAGAAGCTTGGTAGAAGTTCGACAAATTTCAATGTTCAAGTATTTCTACTCATATTCAGGAATTAAAATTAATGCTTTGAATATCCGAAATTATTTTAGGAATTTTTGTATGGAACTGATATATTTGAAAAAACTGCGATGAATGAAGAAATTTTTAGAAGTGTAAAATCTTAAACCTTCCTTCCTTTCAGGACATCCCACATTGCCACATTATCGTCGGTATCTTTTGTGACAATATGTCTTTTGTCATTTAAAACAACATGTTGCCTGATGCTTGCAGCACCTGCAGCTTGGTAAAAATTTAGTGAAGTCAGTCACCAAAAAGTATGAAAGAACTTAAGCTCCATTAAAAAGATGTTTCACTGAAATAATACTTTCCAACCTGGAATGGTGATGTCTGGTTCATGAATGCATGGAACCATTTCTCCACACTGATCACTCTTCATCCCAAATGAAATTTGAGCATCGCTAAGCAATGACCACCGTTTAATTGACGAATTCCAGGTAGCTGCCCAAATAAAGCGTGATTCTGAATCGGTTAGTTGCAACTGAAATGGAAATATTAAAATTAAAACCAAACAGTGTAGTGGGACGCAAAAATATTTAAAGGTAATTCTATTAAATTATCTGTCTCGTAATAAACTGTAGTCTAATTAGTAAGTAGAAAGTAGGGTTGACCGCTATTATCTATTCAAATGTATTTATTTCGAACGTAATCAAATGAAAACACGAAGGATATAATTCAATCACAGCACAATTCTAATACCAATAAGACCCTTCCTACCCGCTGTACGGGTGCATCCTCAATAAACATTAGTTCTGCTGTCTTAAAATCGTTAACTGCCGTGCGGAAGACCTGTTTGTCCCGTCCTCCAGAATATACATATGAAAAATTACTATCAACCTGAAAGCAACAAAGTTATAAAAGTGCTATGCAGAGCATGAAACACAAGATTTCAGTGTTTATATAAATTTTACATTATTATAAAGAAAGAACACGTTACAAAACAATTGAAGAGTACAAATAAGTTACATCAACAATTAAGGAAATTAAGTAATACTTACTTGCAATGCCCAAACACTCCCTGAATGGCATTTTAGTGATGATATGCAGCATTGCTGTCCAATACTCCACAACTTTATAGCACCATCACTGCTGGCTGATATGCACTAAAAGAAAGGACACACGACACTATGAACTCAAATCTCACGAACCTCCAGTTACATGAACTTCAGCAAACAAAGCTGAAAATGAATGACAGAAAAAGTCCTGTCCACCAAAATTTACATACGAAATACACTTTTTTTCAAAAAAAACTATTTTAAAAAAAATACTGTTTGTCAAATTAACGACTGAGATCAGTTCGGGTTCATTCAATTATATAAAGAGTCTGAAATTCATGCCCCCGAAAAAATATATGATACATGCCTGTGTCCCATCGCGATTCACTACGACTGCTTTAACATTATCAGTGTGGCCACGAAGCTTCATCAGTTTTTGACATGCACGAGGATCGAATACACGAAGTACCTGAAAAATACTGAAGTTTTTGAAGCAACTTCAAGTATGGATAAAAATAAAAGCAGATACTTTTTCTGTTGAGCCAGAAATAACGACTGTTCCACAAGGGTTTGTTGCCAGTGAATAAATGCTATCCTTGTTACCACTTAACGAAGATGCTGAAAAGCAAAACTTTAGTTTAAACTTTTTCGAAGTTTATATGAACTCGTTGAGTAGTTCATTTAAACTACATTTCATTGAGGTTATGTTGTTGCAACAGCTTTTTTCAACCTACTTGTAACAGTATTATTTAATGCTGTTAGCTTTGTTAATGTAGCAATATCCCACAAATAAATAAGCTGATCAAATCCACCACTTGCAACCATTTCAACATCTCGGGCATACGCCAATGCACGAACATAATCTCGATGCGTCCGCAGCGTTGACATACAGAAGCCTTTCTGGGCATTCCAAACTTTTACTGTTGTATCGCTTGAAGCCGAAATTACTGAAATTCAATTTCCTTTTACAGAAATGAATTTTTTTTTTCGACAAACAGCAAAATATGGTTAGTTGAAACAATTTGCATAGGTTGTCCTTAAAAGAAAGTCCAGAAGCAAGATTTCGTCGAAATCAGCAAGCATCGTAATGATTCATTTTTTCGCGAGAAATCAGAAAGTTTAAATACTAATCTTCTTGATTTACGATTCTATTCAATATTTTTCGGAAATTCCTTAAAAATTTAAATAAGCAAAAACCATACGATTCCGGCCACCACAGCAAAGCACTATATCGTTAACCCAGTCAGTATGATGTTCCATTGATTGCAAGTGAAGATCATATCGAACTTTTGTCCTTCCATTTATTGAACAGCCATCGGTACCACAAAAAGACCCTTCTTTGTTTGTTAACTGTATAAAAGTATGCAATTTTAATATTTTGATAGTTTGCCACGCATAAGCTATTCCTTTCAAATATGACAAGTGATAATTTCAATTTTTTCCGATATTCAAAGAAGCCTGGGATTTATTGCCATATATTGATTCCTATTCCATTTTCTGCTTTCTGAATGCATCGCAATTGTATGAACTTTTTCAGCTAACATTTTCTATCTATTTCAGTCATTTGCATAATTTCTTTCTTTTGTCACGCATAAACTGTCCCTTTCAAATATGGCAAGTGACAATTCCAATTTTTTCCTATATCTGAAAGAAACCTGGAAATTTTACGGTATTAACACTTAGTTTACAGAGCAAAATTAAAATTTTAACGACCCGAAAGCTGCCATCTTTACGATCAGGTGATTTCCAGATTCGTATAATGGTATCTGAGCCACCAGAAAAGAGACGACCTGTTTGCGCATCGTACTGCAAGCAATTGACACCTGAGCGATGCATTGGCTCCTTTTCATCCCGAATCACAAATGAAACCTTAATAAAAAATCAATGAGACTACTTTTAGCGCCTAGGCTATGAGAAACGAGGCAAATATATATATATATATATATATATATATATATATATATATATATATATATATATATATATATATATA